ACTGAAGACACTGGCTTAGTGTCTGTTTTCCTGTACGCTGCAGCCACCAGTGATGAGAACCAGGTTCTGAGAAACCTGGAGTTGAAAGATCTGCTCACATTGATCCCGCTACATACTGTCGTTTATGAAAGACAGCCCCTTCAAGTGGGTTCTGCGACTCAAGTTCTCGCTTAACACACTGAAAGGAACCGAGATGGGGGAATCTCCTCAGCTTCGGCGAAACGGCTTAACACTGACCGAAGTGCTTTTTCAAGTTTGTCAGCTCACCGACACTTTTCGAGGAGACCACTTCTTGAAGCTTCCCCACGCTCCATGAACTTGAGCTGAACGGAGTGGCGTTCATGTGAAACATTGGACTGGGATCACTTATGACATATTTTCACGCCTGGCATAAGTATTATCCAGGGAATAAAGCACGGCCTTGGCTGCTCCATTTTCTAAAATATGAACTGATGTCTTGAATTGCGCGAAAACTTTTTTTGATACTTAAATTGGGAGGATACCGGTGGTCTTTAAGAGAGTATACGGTTCGGTTTACGCTGGTCAATATTCTTGCTTGGAGTTTTCTGTGCATCTATTGCGCAAGCATGGATAGCTGTTTGAAGGCCAGCTGTGAGAGGGTGTTCATGAGTAGGCGGCATCTTTGATCCGTATTTTTGGCGAATAACTCTAACAGCCCTAACGCTCTTAGAGTTATCCGCCTTGAAGTTTGAACTTTGGCTTTCTCTTCTAAAAATGAACTTACGAGAATGACAGTTATAGCATTAGGGTTCTCAGTGTGGAGAGTAAGTGCAGCGGGAGGGAGTACACGGGACAACGCTACGAAGAAAGTGGAGCGCTGACTTCACGCAGAACTTTATTGTGGAAAACAAAAAATATATGAAAACGACAATCGTGCGAACAAACGACGGCATGGGATCAAAAACGTTCCCTCCCAAAAACCCGAAGCTGACATGAGCAAGCACTCGAAACCAACAATTCGGGGATAGGAATTGCTTGTTCTTGACAATAAAGTTCAGTTAGAAGTCAGCGCTCGTCTCTGTTCGTATCGTTGTCCGTGTCTTCCCTTGCGCAGTATTGTGTGTTGTTGTTCTCTATTGTTAGTGTCGCATACCCACTGTGGGGGATTGGCCAAGAATCAAGTGGTTTCAACATTTACTGTTCAGATTTGGAATGATGGAGGTTTAACAGAAAGATTACCGATAGCCTTTACTCTACAAAATTGCATACTGACGAGCTCGTACCCCACTTTGCTTCAAAGTGCAGTTTGTCAATTCAAAGAAACTCATTTTGTTATCATTAGTGTCCCTTTGGGCGGGTGGTGAATCCCTGCAACTCTGCTCGTACTTAGCGGGTTGCAAAAAGTTTTAACCGCACTTCTCTATTCGTGAGAAAACAAGCTCCTTTAAAGTGCGCCTAGTGGTCGAAATTATACGGAGCCCTGAACTACACCATCTCGCCAAGCTTGACTCGCTTCGGCACATTAAACCTCATGCAACGAAAACAAACCTTATTTGCGCTCCTTACAACTTTTTCTAGGCACAAAAATTACCTTGTTATATTTCAAAATTTAGAAAATGAATACTTCTATTGTTACAAGCTTGTCTGTATTATACACAGGATGTACTTACAGACTATACAACAGGCACAGTCAAAAGCGTCCAAGTGGCTGACCAACACAATCGTCCGACAGCCTTGTTCTTGTTCTTATTCACCTGTGCCCGTGACGTGCACTGTGGGGGATTGGCCAAGAGTTGAGTGGTTTATGAAATAATGTGCAGTTTTACAATAATGGAGCATATATAATAGAAAGATTACAGATTGCCTAGAAAGTCATGGTGCTTTATCTAATACATATACTTAGTTAAATTAAAAAAGAGAAAAAACTTCTTTAAAAACTTCGTCCTTCTTCCGTGACTTTTATACGTATATATGGTAATAGCCACGTTTGGATTATAACCTGATGAATTGTTCAACCAATAAGTTTTTTCAGTGCCGTCCCTGACAACCGCACATACCTTCGCACTGGAGAACCCAAAAATATAGGCTCTAAAAGACAAAATTAGAGGCAAAGACAAATCCATACCCATATCAGGTAAACGTATTTCTCCTAGTGCAGTAAACCGGCTGCACGTGGCGTGTGTCAGCATATTTGAGAAGTTTGGCTAAAGATATCTGGGGCACGCTGTATATATTCGAGTAAAAGGTGACGCCCCATCCGAGAATGATAGAAAAAGAAGGGTGTTTGACTCACAATGAAATACTTTTTTATTTGACTTCTCAGTGTCTGTATTTTTCTATCAATACATCGAGACAATGTATTTGCACCTTAGTAGTGAAAACGCATTCAGTATAACGCGATACTGCAAAGGGAACACGGGTATCTCAGTTGCTGTTTTCTTTTTCGTGAAATGAGGTGATCTGTTTTCGCAAGAAGCACAAAAGATCTTTAAGCTGAACCAAGCAAAGGCAGCGCTAGCGTCGACGAGTGGCGGGGAAAGGGTTCCTCAACCACAGAATGGCTCATGGGCCAAAGCTCTCGATGCCGTGAAGTAGATTTGCCAAGCAGTAATTTTACACTCTGCCGACAAGTCGTGGTCTCTTTAAGCAGTCTCTTTTCTCGAGCGCCATGACATTTCACGACTCTAGTGAGACCGAAGTGATGTTGTCTAAAAGAAAGTCTATTGAAAGTTACATGCTGTGCTGAGTGAATTTTAGCGCACACACCTCAGAAAGGCAGATCTAGTGTCTAGAATAAATGTATACTTTTTCCTAATTCCGTCGTGTTCGTTAATGATTGAAGCAGAATACTTGATTTGCAAGTTTTAATGAAGTGAAATATTAAATAAATCGTTATCCTGCGCCCAATTAATTCCATTTCGCTGCTTCAACCTTTTCGAAATCAATAAAGTATTCTAGTATTAGTATTGTTGTATTTGTATACCGGAACATTTTTTTGTATTTTTGCGTAGGAATTTTGAAACTATCCCTTTACGACAGAGACATATGTATCTCAGTATTTGTTTTAGGCTTCTAGTGCATGTACACGAAATCTGCATTCTGGACTTGTTTGCTGTGTATTTTGCCCAGCCCTGTTGCCAGCCAAGTATTCTACCACAGAGCCACGCCTGTACTCAAAACTACTTCGGAAAAACATATGTTCCGGTAACGACAATTGTGGTTCCGCTGTTCACAATCTGACTTTGACATAATGTAACAACCTTTACATACATATTCTTATATAACTCAGCTCAATACAGCAACCAACAAACACCGGAGAGAGAAAAAAAGGCATTATATATATATATATATATATATATATATATATATATATATATATATATATATATATATATATATATATATATATATATTATATATATATTTATATAGGTATAGTGTGACCTATGGCATAGTGGCCTGTCCCACTTGTATTTTCCAGCATATGTGAGCACGTTAACTTGCATCTGGTTTGCAGCTATATATTGGATGTCATGACTTACCTCCCAATTATATGTGAACGTCTCACGTACGGCGCTGCAGTTCGAGTTTTCGAGTTGCTTTTTCGAACCATATGGTCGTGCGTGAACTTTTCACCTCGCTGTCAGAGACAAGCGCAACGGTGTCGTCTCAGCTTATGCTCCTTGTAATTGCCTCTGAGGCAACACGTGCATCTTCGAGAAAACGGCTCGTGTCCACTGCACACACCTGTCTTCATGATGGTGGCAGTCGAACACTGACGCATTAAGTAACTTGGAAAACTGGGCGAGTTGGTGGAGATTCATCGTGTATAACAGAGCGAAAAAGCACAAAGACAAGTGGACAAGGCACCACACTGTACCGCGTCTTCACGCATTATTGTTTCATAGCTACCTACATCTAGCTATCCCCTCTCCGCTTAGGGATTTAGGAATATTCCTATTGCAATGCGAAAATTGAATGAATCCAGTAGTGTGATACATCTTGCGGTTCTTTTTTCTGCTCTACTTACACGGTAAAGCTTTATGTTGCTGCACTCCATATGCTTTCTTGCTGGTGTCTCCACGACCTGGTAACTAGGATCTATTTAATTGAAACGTTCGCACGCTAGCTTCGCTACGAAGATCCGTCGGAAGCCTGCTCAGCCACGCATTATTACTATGTAAAACAACAGATTGGTTGGCTAATTTTTCATTAAACAGATTGATCTCTAGAAGAAGAAAATGAAAAATTGAAAGGAAGAGGGCAATTGAGGGAAATGGCCACAATTTTGTACGCTACCTAGTGAGTTCATTTTGTGCATCCCAAGTCTCACATGCTCCAACGAGCTTCAAAAAGATGAAGAAAATTGGACTGCTTATAGCGCTTTTACAATAGCAATTAACGCGTATGGCTGTAGTACCAAAGCACTGCACTGGTGGGGAATCGCAGCTGGCCGGAAAAGCGTGTACCAGTGTACACGTGCTATGTTTCTTCGTATGCCGACTACCAGAATCGGCGTACACGAGCACAAAACAGTAATATTATATTTAAAAAAAAAAACGCTGTCTTCATCGTTCAGCCTTACGTTCGCTTTATATCAGCGTACTCGGAAGTCAAGAACCTCGTCTGCTCCACTACCGTCATTCCCGGTCATCACCACAAACACGTTGGAGAACATAATTCGGGGACGTCTTGGCTGACCTTCTTTACGGTTCGAGCGAACACAACGGCTTCTTGGGTTTCCCAACTTGTCTCTTTTGCTAGTCGTGCTTCGGACACAATGGTGTTACAGGGTTGTGACCGAAGTAGGAGGCCTCTGACGAGCTGGACGATATCAGAAACACGGCGGTGCGGTGCCAAAGCGGGCGGTCCGCGGAATTTGGCCGTGCGATTGGTCAAGCGGGGCCCGCACTTGTGCACGCGCGCCGGCGGCCGTGAGCTCGCGCCGCGCTGTCCTTGAGTGCAGTCCTTCAAAAACAGAGACGGCGTGGCCGGACGCTAGAGTTTTTCCCGCTGCTGCCTCTAACCTGAAGCTTGCGTGTCTCTGGTTTTCGCGGCCGGCGCCGCGGCCCGCAGCATACAGCAGTGCGGCGAGGCGAGCACCTTACGCCAGCTACACGTCGTGATAACCGATCAACGCCATCCCGTTAATCTTCTCTTCGTCTTCTTCCTCTCAATGCATGCGTTCGCTCGGCGGTGCGGCACTTTTTGTCTCCCCCCCCCCCCCCCATGTCTTATTTGCTTTTTCAGATGCAAATGTGTGGCCTGGTGCGTCACAAGTAGCCCGCCGCCGCAACTGTTGCGCGTGGGCACCGTACGACCTGTTTGCTATGAATAACTCACGTAATATGTACCTTCTAGCTCCACAGCTTGCGTTTAGAGTTGGAATGGCGTATGGATGTGACAGTATCAAGCACTGCGTTCGTGTTGGTGATGAAGACAGCTGGTAGTAGAGAAAATAAACGTGATCGAACTGATGTCCGCCGTGTATGACACGCAGGTCTGTTGTGTTTGTTACCATGTAGTCGCGCAGATTATATTGGTTTGGAAACTCAGTGTGTTTTGGGAAAATTTATGTCAATCACGTGTTTATATTTGTTATTTATCAAGGGAAACTAGTGTTTAATTATTGCTAAGGATGTGTACTGAAACAAGTTTCGCACCACTTACATGAGTATTCTAACGCTTGTGCTTGCGTTTTGATACGTGATGTTACTACAGTGACTGTGCTTGCGTTTAGATATCTCCATATTACGTGCACAAATACAAATCTAGAATAATCGCCATACGAATAAGCCAAAATTAGTCAAATTAGCGTTAACGTGCCACACCAATGTAGTCGGTTGAATACTCACTCAACTCACTCACCTCACTCACTCACTCACAGCTACGGCGACACGTGCCTGGTGCCTCGCGTCTACTCAGCACCATGGTCTAAAGTATAACAGAATTGTTTCGGTCTTACCATCAGCCCTATTCATTCGGAGTTATGTCACTCACCGGTATAGGCACTGTTATAGTGGACTTAACCTCAATCCCTTCAACTAGCGACAGTGTTGTGGGAGACCAATGAACATCCGCAAGAACAGTTACGAAGACTTGACCAGACTGCAGGCATGCAACGACACTGTTGTGATATAAAAGCACACTTTAGTAAAGGTTGCGTGACATACAGTGAAACAAGGGCGCATATGTTTATTACGCCCTTTACACACATGACGGCGTACAGAGCAGCACGTGAACATAGAAAAAAAGGTAGCAAAATAGTGCTACGCTATACGCCATCACATAGCGTCAAAGTAGACGCACGCCGTCAACTACCAAAACCAACTCGCCCAAGCATCTGCTTCTGTATACAGAAACAGCGTTTCGTATGTGGTGACTATAACAAAATTGTTAGGTTAGTATTAGCACAAGTTTATGTCAACAGTGTTCTTTCCGCAGCACACTTTGTAAATAACTGAGTGAAACTCTATATACGTAAAAATAGACTGTTCGCTTTTAATTGCACTTGTTAACCTTTGTAGATAAAAAACTTTTTTCTTTCAGAACTAAAATAGAATATCTTACTAGGCAGACATCGTGCTTGCACGCAGTATAATATGTCTTGCAACATTCCAGTCCAATAAGTAATTTTTGTGATATACTGTTATTAAAATCTAGCCCAAGTTTTTTTTGCGTGTGACAAAGCGCAACTATAAATCTCACTTGTGCAATACTGTGCTTTATAAAAAATGGCAGCATATCCACAGCTTGAATGATGGAGAGTGGAGCGAATCATTCGTCCGTTCATTCATTCTTGCTTCCGTTCGTTCATGCGTCTGTCTGTGTGACCGTCCATGCGTCCATCCACCCAATCGCACGTGCGTCTGTTCGTGCATTCGTCCCTGCGTTCATCCATGCACCCGGCCCTGCCTTCGTCCATTCATCTGTCTGTGTGTCCGTTCGTCCATCTATTCAACACTCCAAGTACCACCATCTCGCATCTTTTTATCATATATTCCCCTTATTTCTCCGCACATTCCAAGGACTAAACGAGAGGTGGCACATGCACACTTTCTTACGGCTTGCGCTTCGGGTCTACTTCCCACCTTTAACCACCTCGAGTTTATGGTATATACTAGTTCACTGTATTCATGGCACTGCGGCCCAACGCTCGCTAAACCTTTCTAAAACCAAAGAGATGACGCCCAGCGAGTATAACGTAGCAACATTTTCTTTCAGATTGTGCTCAATGTACCGAACGAGCACACATCGATGGCAACGAGCATCGGCAACTACAAACCTGTATCGATATGGTTTCGATTATAAAACCATTGCTTTAGAAAACACCTGGCGTCTTTCGTTAAGCAGCTGGCGTCTTCTTTTTCTTTTGCTTTAGAAACATCTAGAGTCTTTTTGTTTTGCTTTTAGAAAACATCTGGCGTCTTTCGTTGGTTTATTTCATCAATCAACGGCTTTTAGAACAAACATTTTGTATTGTTTAATCACGCACAGGAGTAATATCACCAGGCACTACCTTTCAGGTAAACAGTGGCTGCTACTGGGAATGCGAGACTGCAGAGGTCGGCTTTTAACACTTCTACTTCTACTGACGTTTCCTACTGGAACATGCCAATGGCTGCTAATGGGGAATGAGAGACAGGAGCATTCGGCTTTTAGTTAAAACGCGCACGCCGCGAACTTTTTATTGTGCAACAAAGCACAGGAGAAATCTCCCACCGGCCCCACCTTGCAGGTAAAAATGTAACACTGGTTACACACTACGACTACGAGAGACGAACGGGTGCAGCTTTAAAAAGCTTCGCCCCTAAAATTTAAAAGCCAAACATCAGCTATATTTTTTCGAGATAATGCTCGTAAAGTACGAATCACAACCATTTTCTGTGACATTGCTCCCCACTAAATGCCCCAGTATTTACGGCCGATAGGAATTTCGAAATACTTAAAATTTCAAGGTAAAGTAACCGGATCTTTAGCTGCAATTATCACTACTTACAATTATTGTTAGGTAATATTTTATTGTATTTATGAAGCTATGTGTGTGCTTTCAACCAATTCATTCTGTATCACTGTATGTATGACAAAATCCCACCCCCCCTCCCGCTGTCCCCAGCGTAGGGTAGCATACCAGTCCTTCTCGACTGGTTTGTACCCTGACTTTTCATTCCTCCCTTTCTTAAACGTGATCACTTATTTTGTGATGCCCCCATTAGAATGCCTCGGACGAGGCCTGTAAGGACGCTTTAAATAAATAAACAAGTAATCACGTGAACTAAACAGAACTAGGTGTAACGTTAGGGTAACCTTAACTTGAGAATTCACGGCGCGTTCCGGAGTCCTCCACTACGGCGTCTCTCATAATCATATGCGGGATTTGGGACGTTAAACCTCACATATCAATCAATCAATTGGTATATGTCAAGCACAGTGATCATTTTCGAATAAAGGTTGAGACGTGCAAAGATGGCTTCGTCACAAAGCGCATGCTGCTGAAGGAGAGAGAGAGAGAGAAAACATTTATTGAATCAAGCTTGTGAGTGAAGGTGGGAGGGTGCGTTATTCCAAAAACCCTTCGGCCTGGACAACCCACCGGGCTCGAGCGACGAGTTGACGCTACTCGACCAGGTCCGGCCGGGAGATTGCAGCCTCCCACGCTTCACTGAGAAGGATGCCAAGAAATTTTGAGGAGCGAACCATGCGCAGCTTCGCTGTGAAACGAAATCATACACGGAAAAAGAAAAAAAATATCAGCAGATCTCACGCACTGTGTGAATCGGTGCTATGCGAAACAGTCAACAAGGAGAGGGCATACAGTTTGACCCTGAGCCAAGTGTTCCGAGGCGGATGCACAATAATGGAGAAGTGTACATTAGCGTGTTCATCAGGCACGCTTAGTAAACAGCGACGCTGAAAAGCTATTTTATAGCTCAGTTAATGTGGTATATAATGTGGCAATGGACTATTACACAATATTTGCATGCGAACAAATGAAGTGCACGTCATGGCACACACACACACACACACACACACACACACACACACACACACACACACACACACATATATATATATATATATATACATATATATATATATATATATATATATATATATATATATATAAGGGAAAGAAGTGTATACCTAAGGGCTCGTTTTTTAGTGTTTGACACAATATTATTGAGATCTAACAGACAGTAATGCCAAGGAATGTACAGGAGAAGTTATTAGAACCAATGGAATGTAAATAAGAAGAAAGAAAAGTGGGTGAAAGAATAACCAGCCGTGAGGTGGTTATCCTTTCACCCACTTTTTTTGCAATAAAACTTTTGCAATTAAACTTTTGCAACAAATTGCAATAAAACTATTGCAATGAAATCACGATTACATTTTTTCGTTTATATCATCACCTACATTACGTTGATGTCATGAAATATTTGTTACAACATGTCATTTATTTTTCTTTCATACCATTATGCCCTACAATGCAATATTTAGTGTATATCAAGTCAGCGACCACAAGGGCGCAAAGACGAGGGCGCATATATCACGGTTCGCATGAACACATAAAATGTGCGTAATGGTATGTTTGTCATGACTTCGGTATATGTCAATTAAAGAACCCCAGGTGGTCGAAATTTCCGGGGTCCTTCACTACGGCGTCTCACATAATCATATGGTGGTTTTGGGACGTTAAACCCCACATGTCAATAAAATAATTGGTATATGTCAAGCCAGCGAAGTGATCACTAGAGCACTAAAATTTGACAGATGGATAGATAGATAGATAGATAGATAGATAGATAGATAGATAGATCGATAGATAGATAGATAGATAGATAGATAGATAGATAGATAGATAGATAGATAGATAGATAGATCATACCAATAAATGTTTCTTTGTCATCCTCTTTTGTAGGCTTCCGTGACGTGCATTAGTAAGTCGCGGACGTACAATAAACTAACCGCGGACAAAAAAAAAAGAAGTATTGACGATACGTTGGGGTGTATTCGGCGTCAAAAATCGACAAATTATTGACGTCGTTGTGTGGCTTTCCGCGCAATACATGCTTTTACTCAGCCGAGTATTACGGACACGAATAATGAATTTCCCTATACGAATGAGCCATTCATTTATCACCCAAATATTATTTGCCTTAGCTTGCAATCCTGCAAGCGAGGTGTTTTTGACAGATGGTGACCCCGCGACTCTCCGCCACCAATACTCCCTTCCTTTTCCGTCATAATAACATGAGAGGGTGAGTTTGTTTCGGAATGAGGGCGTTTCGCAACGTGTAAAATAATCGGATGCAGTGTTGCGGGTAATTTTCATCGTAACAGCACGTACGCGTGTAAATATGAAAAAAAGGGTTGCATGTCCAATTGCTTTTGTTATTGATATAATGGGTCGTTGTTTCGGTTTTATGGCTTGATGAAAAGCACCGATGCAATCCTTAAACCTTGAATCGCCGCTTGCCCGACCACTACGTTTTCGTACTATTTATTGCACTGACCACCGAGAGCCGCGGAGTCGACAACTGTGGCGTGGATAACTTACGGTCAACCGACTCGACGCCGCTTGCAAAAAAAAAAAAAAAAGGTGGGACGGCGATCGCGCCGCTTTATCGGCCGTCGGTGTCGAAGCACGCACATCGGCAGAAGCGTCACGTATCCGCCGCCCATTTTGCGTCTCTGCCGAAGCGGTAGCGGGACGCGTCAGCGCCCGCGCTTGACGCGCGAGCGGCAGCAGCGGCGGTGCTTGAAATACGCGGTGAAATACGAGCGGCGCTTGCGCGCCGGTATTCAGCGGCCAAGCAGGCCGTCCATCACGCGCACGGCGCGCCGAAAAGAACGCCGTCTCTGGCGTCGTGTCGCGCCCCGCGATCGGCCTACTGGAGCTTTCGCGCGCACCCCTCCAAAGGGCGGCGCGGTGCTGGAACCGCATGTCCGCATTTGCCGGATTTTCTTTACGATTCAGATTGGCCGCCCATCCACCTCTTCTGTAAATGAAGTAAGGGACGTGCAGATGAGAATGAATGCAACCAGTTCCGAGCACCGCAACTCCCTCACGCAAAGAGGGCAGCGATAATGCGTTAGTCATGGCGCGCACCTTTTATTACAGGTGTAGAATACGGATACTACGTGCATGTGCATACACAAACGCGCAGCTACTTTAGTACCAATCCACAAAGTCTTTAGCTCGAGTCACGCTGCAGGCGTTGTTCCCTCTTAGGCGGCGATGCTACTTCAGGCACAGTTCACGCCGTGCAACGTGTATAGGGGCTCGGTCGCACGTTATTCGGCACACTTGCTCGCGCAGTGTCACCAGCGAGCTCACTTGAATGTTTAGCGCGGCTTGCGCGGGCATTCCTGACACACCGAAGCTCTCAATGGCCGCAATGAAGCACCCCTTGATCAATTCGTTACGAAAGACGTGCACATTGGTATGGCACGGTGAAGTAACAAGAGCCTCACCACTTTGTTGGAAAACAGATTCTGTCATAGTACCTAATATTTTGCATACACGGTAAAAAAAAGGTATAGCAAGAACATATGCGAATGAAAAAAAAAGCGAGCATAAAAGTGACGCACCCCTGTGCTTTTCTTCTATTGAAATCTGTATACGTGCAATCAGGGTGTACTCGGAAACTAAGCTCTTGCAAATGAATGGTATTTTCAGATGTTTCGCCACGGAGACCGCACGCCAACGTCGCTATACCCCAACGATCCAAACTCTCCCAGTGATTTTCCAGAAGGCCTCGGTCACATAACGCACGTGAGTATACGCACACATGGCTTGATGATTGATTTACTGAATGCGCGGCATGCTTATCACGCTGTTTTGATCGAGACCGAAATGGTGTTTTAACGCCACAAGGAGGCTAAGGCTAATGGAGGTAATGTACAACACATTCCCTCAATTAGCTATGCATCAACATTCTGAGCATGACATGCACTCTGCTTAAATTACCACTAACCACCATAAATTCCTGTGTTAATAGAAAAGGGCACCTTTTCAGCGTTGAATTGTGGAAGCGTTTAACTTTAGAGGGCGTCTTGAATTATACTATGTGTTTTTTAGCACGAAAGTGTTTTGCTCTTTCATGAGAGAGAGGCAAGCGACCCTTGTACTTTGTTATGTGTGATCCGACCGAAAGTAATATTTGTTGACTTGGTCAACGTGGCCTTTTCCATATGCCACTCAATACATCCTTCAGCAATTTGAGAGCCACATCTGTTATCTATGATGCCATAGATAACAGATGACAGATCATAGATAACAAATGTGATATTTAAATAATATTTTATTTTATTTTCATTAATCTTCTTGAGGATTGTTTGGACCACTGCGTATTACTTTTATTTAACACTGTTATATACAAATTGCCCGGAATTTGTAAGTTTATCACGTGTGCGTCGAGAATAGCTTCCTGCACAAGATACACCAATCCACCTCACCGGAATAGGAATACGACTGTGGTCACGAAAATGTGATTGTGATTAAAGAACATTATTTTAGAAAGTGTAAAGTATGCAAGTGAGAGAGAAAAAAGTCGAGTCCATGGAACCAATAAAAGAAATCATGATTAGCATGCGGTGGGCTCCAAGAATTTCGCTCGTCGCTGTCACGCAGCAAAATTGATCAAAGCACCGCAGTGGAGCGGTCAGTGACTCTTAGAGTTCGCGTTACGTACTTCATGCCGCAGCAGAGATCCAATAGCAGTATTCGACACTAAAAGATGAACAAAGCAGTGATAAATGCCTCTCGGTGAGCGCTTGCTGGCGTCCCCTGCTGTGCCCTTCCCGGAGACAATTTTCTCCGTTTGTGCCTGCGTGCGCAATTTCACTTCCATTTCCCCCACTATGTCCTTCCTCCTTCGAGTTGGTTCAATGGCGTTGTCACAGAGGAGGAGAGACAGATAGATAGAGAGAAAAAGAGAGAGGGAGCAATAAAAAACACATCAATGAACGAGCAAATACACCGTGATGCACATTTGCTGACGGGGGCGCAAATCACTGGCCACAGTTGTTCTGCCGATGATGATGATGATGATGATGAGTAGTTTTTAGTGGCGCAAGGGCCAATTGATGGCCAAAAGAGCGCCATTTCAATTGACTACAGATATGAACAATGATATGGTGCGTGGCTGTAAAGGGGCCTTAAAATTCCTCGCTCTAACGCGGGTTAAAACATGAAAGTAATAAAATCATGACAGTGGCGTGACATATGTGTGGTGATAGCTGATGGCAAAATGTCATGATAATAAAACCATGATGAAGATATAGTCACCGCAGCCACGACCACTCTATAGAGGTCGTGCTACGGATGACCTCGAAATATCGGGTGAAAGCTTTGCACTTCTTTTAAAATGTAAAAAGTGTTTGTAGTTTAAAAAGCGGATCCCTACCGATGAGCATCCCAGGATGTAGAGGGAGCTGCTGTCGGTAGGGCAGTAAAAAGTGCTTTTTTCTTAGAGCATCTAGCTCATTGCACTGGACGAGAATGTGGAGAACCGTAAGGGGCTCTCCACATCTCTCACAATATGGTGGATCACCGGTAGACAGAAGAAATGAATGTGTAGAATGTGTGTGTCCAGTCCTAAGCCTTGTTAGTATTACTTCCGTGTGTCGTGATTTTGATAGTGGCGGCCAATAACCTAGTTGCGGCTTAATAGCATGGAGTTTATTATCTGTTTGTTTATCCCACATGCTCTGCCAATACCCCCTGAGCTTTCGTTTTATAAAAGGTTTTATGTCAAGTGCAGGGACTGGTGTTGGTGCATTGGCAGTAGTGACATTGGTGCAAGCAGCCAGATTGTCGGCCAAAACGTTCCCTTGTATTTCACGGTGCCCTGGAACCCAGCAGACAACGAGATGCTGTTTTGATACGTAGAGTGTGCACAGAAGTGAGTAGAGTGACACCAGCACGGGGTTCTTGTGTTTTTTAGGAGTTTTCAGGGCTTTGACCACGCTTAGGGAATCTGTGTATTTTACCGCCTTTTGTAATTTTATCTGTTTAATGTGTTTTACGACCGCCAGTATTGCGTAAGCTTCTCCTGTGAAAATGCTTGCATTAGGATGAAAAACGCCAGCCTCAGAAAAGGATTGGCCTATTGCTGCATATGACACAGAAGTGTTTGACTTTGACGCATCAGTAAAGAACTCAGGGCTTGTGTATTTATGTTGTAGTTCTAAAAAGTATGTATGTATGTGTGCAAGTGGTGCGTGCTTTGTGACATCAACAAAAGAAACATCACAGTCTATAAGCTGCCACTGCCACGGTGGCAGATATGTTGCAGGAGCCATCAAACTTGGTTCAAGAAGAGGCACACCTGTTCCTTCGGCCAAGCTCCTTACACGCAGTGCGTAGGGCTGCCTAAACGAAGGTCGGTTCTCGAACAAGCCAGAACAAGACAAATCATTAATTGTGAAATGGGAAGGATGTTTCTTGTCTGCCTTCACCTTCAAAAAGTACAGGGCCTTTTGAGGGCCCTGTGATTCGAGGTTTTTCTTTTTTGGCGCGCTCCAAGGAGTTGCGCCTATCCTTCGGCATCTGAGGCGCCGAAGGAGTGGGATTTGTATCCATCACCTCGTGTGAGGTGGTGGTGCCTGCTGGGCAGGCACATTCACTGAACTTTCGGACCTGACTGCGCCTGCAGTGGTCCGAGGTTCAGCAGACACTAGGGTCTGCCGGCCCTGTTTGTCAGGTGGCGGAGCAGTACAGGCTGCTCCAGCCGGGGGCGCTGGTGGCACGACCGCGGCCACACACTGTGTGGCATTCGCGGGTGCCGAGGCATGTGGCGCGGCGCCCCGGCGCGTCACATCTGCAAAGGAGGGATAAAATGGGTTGTGTATTGCGAAGCGTTGACGCGCTTCTTGGAATGTGAGATTAATTTAACTTTAAGTTCTACTATTTGTTTTCTCTTTTTTCCATGCGGGGCATGATCGTGAGTTGGCAGCGTGATCTCCTTCACAGTTCGAACAATGAGTTGTTTCTGAGGTGCAGTTGTCTGATATGTGTTGAATGGATGCGCACTTTGCGCAAGTGGCACGCCCTCTGCAACTCTGCGATCCATGACCGAAACATTGGCACTTGAAACATCGACGAGGGTTGGGAATGTATGGTCTTACACGAAGCTTACAATAGCCGGTTTCGATTGATTCTGGTAGGTCACTTGTTCCGAAGGTAATTATTACGTGTTTTGTAGGGGTCAGTTTGTTGTTGCCGTCTTATTGTTATTCGTTGGACTTTGACCACGTTCTGGTCCTGCCAACCTTCGAGCAGCTCACTTTCAGAAAGCTCAGTAAGATCATCATCAGAAATTACGCCACGGACAGTGTTCATGGACCTGTGTGGGCCCACCGAAACAGGGGTTTCTCCAAAGGCCACAAGCTTAGACAGCTTTTCATACTGAGCTTTGTCACGAACCTCCAGAAGAAGATCGCCACTTCCCATCTTTGTTACTTTGTAACCTGGGCCTATTGCTTCTGTGAGAGTTTTGGAGACGAGGAAAGGTGAAATAGCTCGGACTGTCTTCTTTTCGTTTTGACTGTGAATTACATGGTACTTTGGGAATGTGGGCTTTGGTGTGTTAGGCAAGAAAGTATCTTCGGTGCGCCACCTTTTTAGGGAGCGATCAGGAAGGGGGGGAAAAGATTTTGCCATAAAAAACAATAAAGTTCGGCGGCGATGGTGGCCACCCACCACCGAGCCCAACAAGGGGACGCTACAAGGTTGACTAGTGAACACTTGGAGACGCCAGCCATGCATCGCCGCTATAACCGAATATAACTACCCAAGGTTGGGTAACTACACAGGGTTAACCCTCGCCGCCAGGAAATTCGGAAGTAAACGGAAAAGAGAACAGTTGTTCTGCCGTGGCTCTACTCAAATTTTACAGCGTTATATTTCAAGCGAAGCCCGAGGCGTGTGGAGTGGCACAATTTTTCACGCACCCATTAACTGTACCCCGCGGCCATTATCGCGTGTCACACGACGCGGTCCTCGCTGTCGCTGTTGCGCGTGGGGCCTTGCGTGATGGCAGTCGGCGACCGGCTGCTGCGGAATTTGGCAGGCGTGCTTCCCTGTACGCACTGAGCTGTTCGATTGCGTCAACTTCATATGCTGGCATAAACCAACGGGAAAATGTATGCCAGCCGCTCATCCTTCGGTTGACGTGGTCGACGGAATTACTCGGCGATTGTTTGCCCTCTTGTATTTACATGTCAGCTGGGATCTGTAGGGCGGCCCGTTCTTGAAGGATCGACGTTCGACTACCACTCTGGCTGGCAATAGGTCAAGCTTTTAACATAACAATTTTGTGTATATATATATATATATATATATATATATATATATATATATATATATATATATATATATATATATATATATATGCTTGTAAAATTGTCCAGAAACAGCTATGAATGCTTGCCCAACCGTCGAGGCATCTTTTGGGAGCGGGTAATTCGTGAAAACGTTCCGAGAACGTTGTCTCTCGTTTGCTGTCAGCTTCAATCGTGTCAGCTTTCGCCGGCGCAGACAAAACAAACAAAAATAATTGGAGGATGACTTTCGCATAAAAGTTACATTTCGGACGAAGAACGTCACTGTTGACACACCGAACTGAGAAAGTAAAGAACACAGCATCATCTAGAATGTGGTAGGCGCATCCGCCCGTCCTAGTTCATTGATTTCTCATTAGCGTTGTAAATTTTTCATTACGCAACCTCCATGAATGGAGCACGCGTTCCTAACGCCTCACGTTCTGCCGGAAGACTCGTGTCGCTGATCTGATGAGTGCAGCTCTGGAGCTTAGATTTATGTTCATCGCGTCTTGTTAGCGTTGGTTGCGAAATGTGTACACGGGACGCGAGATGTCGAAGTCTCTCGCTCATTAGTAAACATTAAAAGATTGCGAGAACACTTTTGTTCATTATTTCTCGGAGCCAGTGAGTCGTGGTAATGCGCAGCTGAAACTACGTTAAACAACAAAACCTGCATTTCGGAAGCGTCACTTACTTAAGGGTGGTCTGCCATCGTTAAGGTAATCTTCTCCTTAATGAAGAGTTATAAGTGGCCATTTTCAGTCTAATTTACTCAGACTGCTGTATTCTAAGAAAACGGAGCAGCCGCATGACGCAACGATGTTGCGATCTGCGAGCCAACCTATGCCGCGGGCGCCGGAACGGAAGAAAGGGAGCCGCCTCACTTCGTGGAGATAAGGAGGAGCACAAAGACGCCCGGTTGTTTTTCATGTACTGTGAGGTGCGTGGGCGAAATTACTCGACGAAGCACGGCTGTCACTGGGGCCGGCGTGAAAATGCGACGAGTGGCGCCTTTGTGGTCCAGGAAAGGCCTCAACGCCGACTTTCCGCCGATAACGGCATTCGGACCATGGCGGCGCATTCAGCATGGTATGGCCGATGGCGAAAACTTGTCGTTCCCCAACACAACTTATAACGAACTACAGGCGATTTCCATCTCTCCAAGTTACAGTTAACGGCTTATGCAGCGCGTCATATTACACCACGCTGTGCGTCCCTGACTGATAGGCCACGGACGCTCAAATCAGATGTCCAGGTGCATGTCATCGGAGGCGCCTGGCCTGCGACCACCTTTAGACAGCATAGGTGGACGGGCCGAGCGGAGGGATGACGGACTCATCACACCGCACTTGCTGGGAGCATGATTTCCCGGATGGGACAGCGTCACCGGAACAATACAGGTGTTTGGATTGTGTGTGTGTGTTGGGGGTGGTGCCGGCATAATGAGCCTCGGAAGCACTGTGGTACGTGTTATGGGATAGTGCAGCCTGGACCCATTCCACGATCTAGGAACCTGGGGAAACGAGACTCCTTATAATCAGCCCTTTCGGGCTGCTTCGGGAGCTTTTTTTATGTAGAGTTTTGGGCCAGAGAGCTTGCCATGTACAAAATGTAGATAAACCCTCTGTTAAGTTTACCTTCCTCTGGCCTTGGCATCTTCATCCCGGGTCCCCGGTGCCTGCAAACGCTGGTTGCAACAACGCTCACTCCGCGAGAGTGAAAGTAAGAACGCCGCCTCTCCTACCTGCTGATCTGTTAAGTGTAAGCAAGCTTGAACGTGTTTCAGCTTGGAGTGTTGTTTGGTAACCAAGCCGACAACATTTCACTAGCGCCAATATCATCTCTTAAAGGTGCGCAAATCAAATAACGTAAAATTAGCAGAGTTGTCTTCGCTGTTTCGCAATGACTCTGCAGTATCAATTTTTAATATCTCGTTCACATGCGACGCCTCTGCGTGCCAAGTAAGGCAATGATATTAGCGTGACAGTTTTACTAATACAGTTGCCAACTATAGCTTGCCTAGACGCGAATGGCACTTGCATAAGAAATATTTTTGTGAATAGATAGATGCCTTCGTTGTTACTGCGTCATTACCAGTGGCTTTAGGAAGGCTGATCAGCTGCGTGAAGCTTTGTAGTAGTAGATCGCTTGTTTCTTCCAGGAAAGTGAACAAAATTTCTCGTTTGTCTAATAGTGCTAGGCGTGAAGGTATACAACAGCTGCATCTTACCGGTATACTTACAATGGAGCAGAAACCTGAAGGCTTACAAAAAGGGTTCAGCCTAAATTGAGGACGACGCAGTGAGCGATGGAAAGGAAAAGGATAGGTGTACTCTTAAGAGACAAGAAGAGAACATAGTGAGTCAGGGAATTAACCGGGATTAATGATATCACAGTTGAAATCAAGAAGAAGAAATGAACATAAGCAGGGCACGTAGCTAGCGCGTAGGAAGGATAACCACTAGTCATTATTGGTAACTGAATGGATTTCAAGAGAAGGCGAATGCGTCAGAGGGAGACAGAAAATTGGTTTGGCAAATGAGATTAAGAAGTTTGCAGGTATAAAGTGGCAGCAGAAAACACAGGACCGGGTTGATTGGCGGAACATAGAGGAGGCCTTTGCCTTGCAGTGGGCGCAATCAGGCTAATGATGATGGTGTTAGGTGCGAAGTTGGAAAGAGCAAATACTTGAGCGTGTTGGGAAATGCACGTTATTAAAGGTTTGCCTACACTTAATAAGAATACACTGAGGTAGGGTAAAAATTTACAAATAAGGCTGAAATGCCAGATGTAGGGGTAAATCTTTTTTTTCTTTTTCAGAAAGGCAAGAACGACCAGTACAACTCGGGAAAATATTTGAGGACAAAGTACGAAGACTTTTTGACCTACGATTCCAACGAAGTGAGTTTTTCTTTTTTTGTAATATTTTACAACATATATATGCTCCTCAGAACAGGGATCTTGACCGAACTAAAGTAATGCGCAAATAGTTATAATATTTGAATGGCCTTGGTCATGAGTAAATCTTGTCGACAAAAGCACTCTTAGCATGAAAATATTTCATGCGAGCTTCTCCAAAAATAACTGATGCCGTATACTTTGCGAAAGTGAATGACCAAATCAAGTCCCTTTTTTTACTTATTGTTAAATGAAGGGTGAAGAGCAGTCTACAGTGCAACTTCTTTAAAGGATTAGTTGCCCTACCGGTAGTGCAGTGCACTTTTTTTTTTTGAAAAAATATTTATGGCGCACTTCTTTAAGGTTCCACCCATCGCAACTTTCATAAGAATATTAACCACATCTGGTCATATTGTTAGCAATTCATATTTATTTATAACATGACTCTATTATATTTCAGCTGTTTTAGAAAATGGTTAGCCCTTGTACGTGGCTTTTATCTTATAATATGTAATGTTCCAGGCACACAGAAAATAAATCGATCATTTGCTTATGGATCTTGGTAGGTTCTGCGCCTTAACCTGCAGCAGGGGTGCCTTAGCTAACAGGCCGCAGTCACGAAAATTTACTCCCTCATGACCAGGACGAAAGAGCTTAAAGTAAAAAAGTAAAATTTACTGGAGTGGAGACGGTGCCTCTCGGGTGAAGCCGTCCACCGCTAACTTGCCATACGCAGAAAATACGCCTTTCGCAACGCTAGACGCTGCGGCCGCAAGGATGTTCCAGATGCTCTCTGGCGTTGTGGCGTCCGCACGTTGTAATGAATGCATTGTGCGATGCCTAAGGCTACATAAATCAAGATAAAAGTGCACTAGGATAAACTTAAGGCTGCGAGTAGCACGTTTAGAGCTTCTCTGTATGCCGGAAACATGTTGACAGCTCGTAACTTGTCTTCATATTTGACGATCATTCTTTTCAAAGCACGTTGGGGCGTGCTGTCCAACCTTTGTGTCCTTGATATTACGGGAAGCCTGGAAGCCATAAGACCCCATTTTTTCACATTGGAAGCAAAAGACTGCAGTGGCCGCATTGTTTCGACCGGACTAGGCTGAGACCTGCAAGTTGTCCGGCTGGACTTGACGCATTTCCAAAGCACCCGGAAAACACAGTAATACGCCTCCTTGTGCTCGTTTATATCACTGGACTGGTGCGCGAATAGAACAAGCACGCAGCCTATTCAATAAAATTAAAAATTACATTTCGTTTTAGGTTCCTTGTGTTAATTAAAAAGGTAGCTCACTAATACAAGGTTAAGTAACGTTATTTGAGCAACAAACCAGAACCTGTATTTTTTTTACAACCGCGCCTTGCGTTTTGTTATTTTTAGCGCAGCGAGCAAAACCAGTAGATCTGAACTGTGCAACGCCTGTTCTTGCTGCAAAGAAAGCGACCATAACCGAGGCGCCGGGTACTCGTACCGTTATATCTATTCAATTGGAAAAAGTTGTTGAGGATGGGAGAGTTGCATCAACTAGCTGCACGGCAGCTCTTATAAAAACAAGCTTCATGTTTATTAGGGTATATAAAACAGCTCAAGAATAAAAATCTATACCGCAGAGAAATCGCACACTGAACCATCGAGATAAAACAAAGGAGATCGAGAATCAAAAGCGCATGCTTGAGGAGGGCAGGCTGGGGGTCTCCCCTCTTATACATACAGAAAATCCTCCACGGGCCACAAAAAGACCAGAAGGCACGTACACATCCAAGCTGCGGGCGTTTGCGTTTACGCTGCACTTCTATTCTCCATCAGCTTTTGAGAATGTTTTGATCGAAGCACAATATCGAGCACTGTCAGCAGAGCGCACTATACTAGAATAGCAAACAGTTTCATGAAAGGACAGGCTGGATTCACAGCTGGGTCGCTGAGCTCGGCAAATCTCGCCAAATGCTGCACAGGGTATTTTTGTACGTTGGTTGTTAACGACAAATGAGGAAACACGTTGAGACTGTGGGCGACTAGATGGACGTGAGTACCTTGAAAGTGGAATGCATTATTATAGACGGCATGTGCATACGCTGGTTGGCCTAAGCTTACCACTTAGGAGGTCACCTGTGTCCTTTTTTTTTAATTGACTCATGGACAGGAGCCGAGAGAGTCTCGTTAACTAAATAGTATCGAAAAGCTCTGTTAATAGGGCCGGCTGCAATCTGACTACCCACATTTCAAGCACGACTTTGCAAAGCCAAGACATCTGGTTCTGGAGGTTTCGATATTATCTGTGATAAAAAAACTGGCTTTCATTAATGAAAGCCTTCACGAACATATCTTTCTCGATGAGGATGTCCTTTTGTGTGATGCTTTGGACACCCACATTTATATTACACACAAATGAAGTAGCCGAAATTTACAGATGCAAAGGAGTGTATCCCATGAATAAAATTAACAGGAAAGTGTGTGCCGAGAAAGTGAGGTCTGCTCTCACGAGTATGGTTACTTTTAAAAATCAGCATCACATACCCTTCGTAGGTGTGCATGCTTGCAAGGAAAACTCCAAAAAAACGTAACAAAGTCGACTTTACTCTTATCCGCCATTTGTTTTTTTTTTCTTGACAACTTGCCCCTTAATACACGTCATAACTGTTAAAAAACCAATTCGCCGAGGCGTGGCGGGCGCTTTGGCTGTTTGGCTCCCGTATCTTGCCTATGCCATGGCCGCCGCCACGCGCAGCGCAGCTTCACTGAGATCCATTGGTTTAGATAGGTGGTCTTCACTTCATCCTTGTTCGAAAGTGAAAGCGGAAACGGTGAAGGTGGAGAGAGTTGTACAAACGTAAAAACAAACATTCAAACTTTTAAGGTGACCTTTATATTTCATATATCAGGAATTACTAAATGAGATATGATGACAATATTCCAGCAACATAGCAATACTAATTTCCGAAATGACTAAAATCTGGACGCCGATTCTGAAATATAGAGTTTTGTTTTGCGATTACGTATAAACACATTGTGAAAGCAGGAGGCAAATGACGAAAACAATGTTCTAGGCCACACATGCTTGCGTAGTTCATAAAAAATGGGCTAGACACATTTATGCACAGAATGAGGTCTACGTGTTTAAGACCTTTGACCTAGACAGCTAAAATGTTTAACGCAAGAAGGATTCCTTTGGCGATTTCGTGGTTCGTTAAAAACAAGGTAATAAAAATAAATATAGAAATAAATATAGACAACAAGGTCATATCGCATATCAACGGAGTGGCCGCGCAACGGACGCAACTGAGTGGCCCAGGGGGGGGGGGGGTGGATTTGGGGTCTGTTTTGATATCGCTATTAAAAACTGGGTGATGAATATCTCGAATCACCTAAAATATAATTTTAAGAACGGGCATGCTATAAACTGTCACGGGCTACTGATTGCTACTACAGTAGGACCACACTAAAACATTTTTTAAACTTAAGAAAAAGAAAAAAAACACGCGAGTGCCGGCAAACGTACGAGCTGAGAAACTTAAAAAAAAATGGCAGCATATCCTCGGAGTGAATGATGGGGAGTGGGGCGAAGCATTCGTCCGTCCATTCGTTCTTGCTTCCGTCCATTCCTGCGTACGTCTGTGTAACCGTCCATGCGTCCATCCACCCGTCCGTGCGTGCGTCTGTTCGTGCGTCCGTCCCTGCGTTCGTCCATGCATCCGCGCCTGCGTCCGTTCATGCGTACATTCATGCATCTGTCTGTGTGTCCGTTCATCCATCTATTCAGCATTCCAAGTACCTTCATCTCGCATCTTTTCATCATATATTCTCCATATAGAAGCACCGCCATCCAGCGGACATTTCAAGGACTAAACGGGAGGTGGCACATGCACACTTTCTTACGGCTTGCGCTTCGGGTTTACTACCCACCTTTAACCACCTCGAGTTCATGGTATATACTAGTTCACTGTATTCATGGCTATGTGGCCCAACGCTCGCTAAACCTTTCTAAAACCAAGGAGGTTACACCCAGTGAGTATAACGTAGCAACCCTTTCTTGTCAGATCGTGCTCAATGTACATGCCAATAGCTGCTAATGGGAATCGCAGCGTGCGCGTTACCTAAAGGCCAAATGCTCCTGTCTCTCATTCCCCCTTAGCAGCCATTAACATGTGCATTGAGCACTATCTTTTATGTTCAACAACGCACAGAAGAAATCTCTCACCGGAACCACCTTGGAGGTCAAAATCGTTAGGACCACCAGTTCGGGTATGTGCCACTGGGGTTACGT